GGGGCCGGGAAACGGTCTCTGGAGGTTCGAGGATCTTCTTACCAGGGTCAATCCAGACGCGGGTCAGCAGGACACCAAATTACCCCAGTGCGACCCTACCTAGGAGTTGGAGCCCCTAGGAAAGCAGCATTAGTAGTAATGGTAAACGCCGTCCTCCTCCTTCTCCTCATCGTCGTAGTTGCTGCCTTTGCTTTGCTGCTATGCTATGCTATGCTATGCTATGCTATGCTATGCTATGCTGCACTATGCTATGCTATGCTATGCTATGCTATGCTATGCTATGCTATACTATGCTGCGCTATGCTATGCTACGCTAGGCTGCGCTATGCTATGCTAGGCTATGGTATGCTATGCTATGCTGCGCAATGCTATGCTATGCTGTGCTATGCTGCGCAATGCTATGCTATGCTATGCTGCGCTATGCTATGCTATGCTGGGCTATGCTATGACCTGCTGAGCTGAGCTAAGCTAAGCTACAGCTACGCGAAGCTAAGATGAAGCTAAGCTAAGCTAAGCTAAGCTAAACTAAGCTAAGCTAAGATGAGAGACGCAAAGCTAAGGTAAGGGGGCGCAACTGGGGGAACCACGGGGCGGGGACCGGGGGAACCGCCCGGGGCGGAGCCCACTGCCCGGCCCCTTTAAGCCCAGCGATTAAGAACCCTCTAGGCAGAGCCTAGGTAAGGAAAAACTGCAATGCAGGAACAAAAAACTTCAGCGCAAGTCTTCGCAAACCCGGGTCAACCAATATACGCAGCCGCCTCGCGGCCACGAGCGGCTCGCCGGGTCAGCCAGGGGGGGTGTTCGCAGGATCCTGCAGGATCCGGTGTCCTGGTTGACCCCCGTGTGCACTGACCCTCGTCTCTTAGGCCCCGAGAGGTCGAACGCAACGAACAACGGGCCGTCGCGGGATCTTCTGCAGCGCCACCTCGGGTGCTTCTCGGACCCCAGCTCGGGCCTCCAGAAGGCCGTTCGGGGCGGCCCACGCACTTTCGGGCCGCCCCTCGACGAGGCGATCTCGGGGAACGCCCGAAAACCTCGGAGAACCTCGATTCGGGCCGGGCGAAAGGGGGGAATAGCAAAGGGGGGGTTTGAGAATCAGCTCACGTAGCTGATTTTCCTGGCGTTTCCCGGCGCCGGGAGGCGCCCATGTATCGAGGGGCCCGGCGGCGGGGCCGAAACCAGCTGCATGCAGCAGATTTCGTAAACCCCCTTCCGCTATCCTTTCATTTCGTTCGGCCTGATTGATCCGAGGCGGTACAGGGCTTCGGGTTGTGCACAGGCAGCCCCCCGTTGGGTACTCCCGGCTGGACTTGAGGTCGGGCGCGTCCCCCTAGAGGCGGATTTTGGACGAAACGTTAATAATTGGCAAAACAGATTCAAAAATTGTCAAAAACAAATGTCCCGACTGGACTTGGGTCGGGCGCGTCCCCCTACCGGCGGATCTTGGACGAAACATGAAAATAGGCAAAACATTTTCAAAAATGGCAAAACATAAAACAACAACTCCGCCGACCCCTTTTGGGTCTCAAGGCGTGTGAGATTCTCCCCCCCCGTAATACCCCCCCCCAGGGACGCCCAAACCGGCAATTCGAACCCCCCCCCGGCCGAGCGCGACCCCGGACCGAACGCGCCACGGGGGAGCGGAGGGCTCCAAAACCGACCAAAAAGGCACCAAAACGCTCCCCAGACGGTAGGGGGCCACGACTCGCAGACAGATCGCCCCTGGACGCCCACGATGGCCTCCAGGCGGCCTCCGAAGCTACCAAGACGCCCCCAAAGGCCCCCAAGATGCGCCCCAAGAGGGTCCCAAGAAACAGAAATCGGCCCACGCTCTGCGAAAAAAACATTTTTCGCATGCTCGCCTATTCGGCTTTCACAACGTCCACAACGGGCAAAGAAACCTTCAATCTCGCCCCCAGACGGCTAAAGGGGCCCCGAAGAAGGATCGACGATGCTCCAACAACAGCCCACGAAACCCCCAAGACAGCCCAAGAAGGCCCCCAGACGGCTCCAAGACGGAGTCCAGAGTGCACCTTTTCGAGCCTTCGACCCCAAGACGCCCCCAGCCTGCCCCAAGGACCCCCAAGAGGCCCTGAGGGACCCCTAGGAGAACCCCAAAAGCCTCCAAGAAGCCTCCAGAAAACCCCCATGAAGCCAAAACTTGGCCCAAGATGCCTCGAGGCGGCCAGATATGGCCTGCAGACAGGCCAAGATGCCACCAAAAGGCCACAAAAGAACACCAAGAGGTACGAGAACAGCAACGAAGCAACAAGAACGATGTCGAGCGCCGTGTCATGATTCGGGCAAGCCTCGTGAAATGCAGTCTTCGAGACGCCATAGTTTATATAGGGGTCGGCGGATGTGGCGTAAGCCTATAACATCGTCTCCAGACGATTTGTTTGTTGTGTGTGTGTGTGTGTAGCATTTTTTGAATTTTCCTCCTATAGAGGGACAGGCCCCCCGAGTGTTCCCAGCTGGTCTTAACATGCCTCCCGGGCAGTCGAGGCGGTCTCCACACCCTGGCACCGCCTCTTCGGGGGCGGCCAAGAGGGGGGCGTCCAAGAGGGGGGGGGCGCAAATCATGGCCGGCGGCATGCGCGCGGCCCAGGGGGGGGGGGCCGGGAACGTAATCAAACAAGAAGAGGCGCCATGAAATCAGGGGAAATATCATGGCACCCGTCATGATATTCACCCCCTTGTGGATGCCACGAACATGGACACCCTAAGAGTCCTATCATTGAATTCAAACTGTCTTTAACATGAAGAAGCATGTACTCAACATGTTTCTTTTTTGCGAAAATTATCCCAGTGCGACCCTACCTAGGAGTTGGAGCCTCTAGGAAAGCAACATTAGCAGGAGCGGTAAGCGCCGTCCTCCTCCTTCTCCTCATCGTCGTAGTTGTAGCAGTAGCGGTAGCAGTAGTAGTAGTAGTAGTAGTAGTAGTAGTAGTAGTAGTAGTAGTCGTAGTAGTAGTCGTAGTAGAAGTAGTAGTAGTAGTAGTAGTAGTAGTAGTAGTAGTAGTAGTAGCAGTAGCAGTAGCGGTAGTAGTCGTCGTCGTCGTTGTTGTAGTAGTCGTCGTCGTCGTCGTCGTCGTCGTCGTCGTCGTCGTCGTCGTCGTCGTAGTAGTAGTAGTAGTAGTAGTAGTAGTAGTAGTAGTAGTAGTAGTAGTAGTAGTAGTAGTAGTCGTAGTAGTAGTAGTAGTAGTAGTAGTAGTAGTAGTAGTAGTAGTAGTAGTAGTAGTAGTAGTAGTAATATAGTAAATAGAAAGTAGTAGTAAAGAGTAGTAGTAAGTAGTAGTAGTAGTAGTAGTAGTCGTAGCAGTCGTAGTAGTCGTAGTCTCGTAGTAAGTAGTAGTAGTCGTAGTAGTCGTCGTAGTAGTAGTCCGTAAGTAGTAGTAGTAAGTAGTAGTTAGGTAGTAGTAGTAGTAGTATAGTAGTAGTCGTAGTAGTAGTAGTAGTAGTAGTAGTAGTAGTAGTAGTAGTAGTAGTAGTAGTAGTAGTAGTAGTAGTAGTAGTAGTAGTAGTAGTATTAGTAGTAGTAGTAGTAGTAGTAGTAGTAGTAGTAGTAGTAGTAGTAGTAGTAGTAGTAGTAGTAGTAGCGCCAGAACCGCCGACGCCACGCCGTAAGTACATATGTATATAGCAGCAATAGTGGATGCTGTGCTGCGCTATGCTATGCTATGCTGGGCTAGGCTAGGCCATGCTATGCTATGCGATGCAATGCTATGCTATGCTGCGCTATGCTATGCTGCGCTATGCTATGTTATGCTATGCTAGGCTGTGTTTTTGCTTTACCTCCGCTTTTGCTCTCACTTTTGCCTTTACTTTTACTTTTGCTTGGCATCCAGGGAGACCTTTGCTGTTGCTTTTGCTTGGCTCCCAGGGGACTGGGGGAACCGCCCGGGGCGGTTCCCACTGCCCGGCCCCCTTAAGCCAACAGAGTAAGAACCCTTCTAGGCAGAACCCAGGTAGGGACAAAAAGGCTTAAAGCATGTTTCATACATGGCAACATGCTTCCTCTCCTTGCCCCAGTTTCATGGCAACATGTGTCCTACATGGAAGCATGGCATGTCCTTCCTCTACATGCAACATGGCATCATGTCCTTCCTCTACATGCAGCATGGCATCATGTCCTACATGGCAGTTGTGGCCGGTCCTTCCTCTACATGCAACATGGCAGCATGTTTCATACATGGCATCATGCTTCCTCTCCATGGATCGTGCTCCACAGCCCCAGTCACCACCCCCCCTCCTTGCCGCCCCCGACCTCCGGCGCCGCCCGCGGGCCGCTCCGCGCCCCGGGGCTGAGGCGTCGAGACCGCCCCGGGGGCTGCTCGAGGGGGCGCGCGGCGATGCCGGCGGGGGGGGCCCTCTTCGGGGGGGCCCGTGGAGGCCGGCCAGGGCTCCGCGGGGGGGGCGCCTATGGGCGCCACGCGAGGCCTTCTTACCATGATTGCCCCCCGTGGATGAGGGGGGAGCCAATCACCTGGAATCGGCGAAGCATCGCTAACAGATCTCGGATAGGGGATCAACGGAATCGATTTACTCTTGCATCGATTTTCCCGTCGAAGGTACAAAAACACGTCGAATGCCCGTAGATCTACAGCACATCATGCGCATTTGTTTGTAAATTGGGCGGGGAAGTCAATTCCTGAGGTCGGGCCTGTCCCGCCTACAGGGGAATTTTGAGCGAAACTGGACAATAGTCAAACAGATGCTCTAAGGTGGCTGAAAGATGCTCAAAGAATCGTCCCCAGACTATGTTTTGACTATTCTGAAATACTCCTCCTGTAGAGTAGAGGGACAGGCCCGACTTAACCATACTTGCCCCCCTTTCCCCAGTCTTCCCCCCGATACGATCACAGGGTTCCCCGCGCGCCTCTGCCGCGGGAGGCACTGCTGTCGTCGTCGTCGTCGTCGTCGTCGTCGTCGTCGTCGTCGTCGTCGTCGTCGTCGTCGTCTTCGGTTCCCTCGACCCCATCTGAAGGTTCCCCGCTCGCCTCTGCCGCGGGAGGCGCTGCCGGTGTTCGCCGGCAGGTCGATCATTCCTGGGGTGTCCACGATCTGCAGGCCGAAGGGCACCACGCTGTCGTCTGGCAGGGCCACCCTCTTCCTGCCGCTGGGTCGACGGCGACGGCGACGACGGCGACGACGGCGACGACGACGGCGGTTGCCGTCTCTGTCGCCACCGTCATCTCCGCTGACATGCGCCACCGCCGCCGCCAGGGCCACCAGCCGGCGTCGCCGTCGTGCCGCCGTCGTGCCGATCCCGTCGGATTCCCGCGCCGCCGACGACCCCGGGCATTCTCGGAGCGGGGCAGGTCGAGTCGACGACGCCACCTCCTCCTCCTCCTCCTCCTCCTCCTCCTCCTCCTCCTCCTCCTCCTTCCTCCTCCTCCTCCCCCTCCTCCTCCTCCCCTCCTCCTCCTCCTCCTCTCCTCCCCCTCCTCCTCCTCCTCCTCCTCCTCCTCCTCCTCCTCCTCCTCCTCCTCCTCCTCCTCCTCCTCCTCCTCCTCCTCCTCCTCCTCCTCCTCCTCCTCCTCCTCGGCGTGGCCACCCGGCGCTGGGCCGCGGCCACGGTCCGCGCGGGCCGCCCAGCGCTGCCCCCCCGAGGAGGAGCGCCCTCCTCTGCTGCGAGGCGGCGCTGGTCTGGGCGCGGGCGCGGCCGGGGGCCCGAACGCGCCAGGCTTCCGAGCTGCGTCCAGCCTTTGGCGGCGAGGGCCCCCCCCCGCCGAAGGCCGACTGTGCCGCTGTCTGGGCTCGCGCCCTCCTCCGGCTCCTGCTGCTCGCGGGGATCGGTGACGACGCTGGCGCCGACGCTGCCGACGCCCCAAATCTGCGACGACGTAGCTGTTTCAATTCCGCATTGTTCCTCCATTTCGCCCCGGGGCCCGCTAGCGTTAGGTCGGGCATGTCCGCCTAATTACAAGGGGATTTTCGACGAAAAATTAAAGTGCCCCGAAAATACTCAAAAATATTGAAACAATGTAGAAAAATGCCCCCCAGATATTTTTTTGACTATTTTTGACTATTTCCCACTGAAGAGGGGCAGGCCCGACTTCACGCCAGCGAGCCCCAGGACCATCGAACACAGTCCAGGGCGAAAACATCTGGTCTCGGGGACGGTCTCGGCGGCCCCGGGGTCGCGCAGTGAGAAAGGCATTGCGCCGGGTCGCAGCGACTTGGAGTTCGGCCAGCCACCCTCTGTTCTGGTTCTGTCTGTTCATGAGAGGAAGAGGAGGAGGAGGAGGAGGAGGAGGAGGAGAGGGGGAGGAGGAGGAGGGAGGAGAGGAGGAGAGGGGGGAGTAGGAGGAGGAGGAGAGAAGAGCGGAGGAGGAGGAGGAGGATGAGGAGGAGGAGGAGGAGGAGGAGGAGGAGGAGGGAGGAGAGAGGAGGGGAGGAGGAGGAGGAAGGGAGGAGGAGGAGGAGAGAGGAGGAGGAGGAGGAGGTGGAGGAGGGAGGAGGGGGAGGAGAGGAGGGAGGAGGAGGAGGAGGAGGAGGAGGTTGCTACCACTCTTCGTCGCTGCCCCGTGGCCTGGTTTCTACGGCAGGCTCCGCGGCCGGGGCGTGCGGCACGGGAGGGCCCAGCGAGCGGGGCCGTCCTGCCCCCCCCCCTTGGCGGGCACCCGCTCTGCGGGTGTCTCTGGTCCTCTGCCTTCGTAGCTGCAGTTTCCTCTGGCGCACTTGACTGCCATGCATCCGTGCTTGGCCGCCTGTGTCATCTTGGCCCTGGGCCCTGCCTTTGCCGTTCGCCACGGCGTCCACGGCCTGGGTGTCGAGCTGGTTGACTGTCGCACATTCGTAGCCCCATTCGCAGCCCCGGTCCCCGCATTCACCTCCCCTGTGCTCTCCATGATCCTCATCTATGACTTCTTCCAAATCCATAGTCGTGCTGTCTTTCGTGTCAACCGCGAGCCTTTTCCTTCCTGGACAAGCTCTTGCGCCGCCTTCTGTGCCTGTTGAACGTTCGACGCTTTCTCATAGTCAGCATACATGAGCCGCCCGCTCAGGGGCCTCGAGAGGTCGTCCTTCCCTGGTTCTTGTACCGACACGCCCTGGGTCTTCAACTTGGCGTGCAGGTTTTTCAGCCTGCCGGCTTCCAACACTAACTTGTGCCAAGGCGCCGACCAGTTGTTCGTTTCGCTATATGAGCTCTGCTCGGTCTCCGCACACGGTTTTTTACTGTTAGATGGGTTTGTGCTCGTTGACTGGCTTCTGGAATTATCTGGGCCCTTTAACACCACTGCTTCCGTCAGCATCGGCCATCTTGTCCTGGCCTCGGCAGCGTTCGTCTGGGTCTCCAAGCGCTCCCTCTAGCACCGCCACGCGCTCCCCAACCCTGGAGGGCCCGCTCTCGTGGCTCATGTGCCAGCTCACGATGCTGAGCGTCAAGACGTCTCACTTCCCCGTTATGTGGAACTCGTGGTCAGGAGGAGGAGGAGGAGGACGGGGAGGAGGAGGAAGAGGATGAGACCCTCCTCGTGGCCAGGAGCTGGGCCGATGCCTTCGTGGTTCGCCAGCAAGGCTGTTTGAAAGCGGTTGTGGTCGCCGTGGTTGTGAGAAGCCGGGGGTACCTCGAGATACTGTTCGATGCCTGCTTGACGGCATTTCAAATGCCATGCAAATTCCAGGAGGCTGCACTGCAGAACGGTATGATGTTTAACTGAAGGACTGCCACAACCGCAGCAGCTGCTTGGGCCACGGCAATGGAGCCCAACACGACCACACAGCGCTACTAACCGCATGCTGGTAACTGTACTGCGCTGCCCCTAAGGCATGGGGCCATCTGGTTTAGCACCTCCTCCTCATCATCATACTCTTCCTCCTCCTCCTCCTCCTCCTCCTCCTCCTCCTCGTCGGCATCATCATCATCATCATCATCACCACCATCATCATCATCATCATCATCATCATCATCACCATCACCATCACCATCACCATCACCATCACCATCAACATCACCATCATCATCATCATCATCATCATCATCACCACCACCATCATCATCATCATCATCATCACCATCACCATCATCATCACCACCACCATCATCATCATCATCATCACCACCACCATCACCACCACCACCACCACCACCACCACCACCACCACCACCACCACCACCACACAACCACCACCACCACCACCACCCCACCCCCACCACCACCACCACCCACCATCATCATCGCATCTCATCATCATCATCATCATCATCATCATCATCATCATCATCATCATCATCATCATCATCATCATCATCATCATCATCTCATCATCATCATCATCATCATCATCATCATCATATCATCATCATCATACTCTTCCTCTTCCTCTTCCTCCTCTCTCCTCCTCCTCCTCCGCCTCTTCTCCTCCTCCGCCTCCTCCTCCTCCTCTCCGCCTCCCCCCCCCTCCTCCGCCTCTTCCTCCTCCTCCGCCTCTTCCTCCTCCTCCTCCTCCTCCTCCTCCTCCTCCTCCTCCTCCCTCCCCCCTCGCGATGCCACAGAGGGCACCCCGGACGCCCGCGGTCCTCTTCAGGTGGCCCGAGAAGATCTGCCCGAAGCGCCGGAGCTCGGCGAAGGGGCGGTTCTCCGGGCAGCCCAGGACCTCGGAGGCGCCCCCGCCCCCCGTCGCCCGCCGGGGGACGCTCGCTCGCCATCGCTCGGACGTCCATTCCCTGTGCTTTTTTCGGTTTCGTGCGTGGTTGTTTCGCCAAGTGATCGAGGATGCTCCTCGATGGTCCTCGCCGAAGGAAAAATGCACACGTCCGAGCGATGCCAGGCTCGGGGGGGCACCATCGACAACCTCGATGCGATCGATCCGACGTGCGGGAGAGCGGTCGCATCGACATCGAGATGGACCCATCGCATCGGGATCGCCATGTACCTATTCGCATCGAGGTGGAGCTATCGCATCGGGGATCGCAACGTGCGGGAGAGCGTCGACCTGTGGACTCGGCAACGCATCGCCGATAAATCGGCGCTGTGTCGAGAATGTGAATCCACAGAGCGCTGGGCGGGGTGGGCCATCGGGGCCATATGGGCGATCACTGGGCGGTTTGGGGTCGATTGGGGAGGGGGGCGGGGTCGCCCCTGCCTTCCCCCTCCCCTTCCTCCCCCCTTTCGCTCCTGGAGGGGAGGAGGAAGAGGAAGAGGACCAGCGTAAACCCAAGAGTCATCAACGATGTTGGAATACCCCCCCTCCAAGATCCCTCTTCATAGGTTCTTACAACGGTTCATCCCCATTGAGAGAACTGCCTCATTGGAAGACATCCGTTTCAAGACCCTGGAACATACCAAAACAGTGTTCTCGGGATTCCAACGCCACGGATCAACCTGACTGTTGCGTCTTGACGATGCTGAATCGTGTCCGAACGCCATTTTTGGAACTTCAACACAGCGAACCAACGTAACTGTTGCACCCGCATGATCTTGAATCCTTCCAGCATGCCATGTCTGGTACGTTGATGATGTGAATCCGCGAAGCTCTTGCAAACTCTGTAAACGAATATGCGCTGCGCTAAAGCGAAAACCACATGTTGAACAAGAACCGCCGTCAACTCTTACAAATGTTTAAAACGAATGTTACGTGGCAACATGTTGAAAACCACCCGCTCTCCATCAGTGAAACTCTTGCAAATTTCTCAAGCGAAAGTGCACTGCGCTAAAGTGAGAGCCACATGTTGAAAACGACCCGCCCTCCATCTGTGAAACTGTTGCCAACTTTTCAAGCTTCAGAATCATGCATGGTGAGGAAGTCTCATGCGAAACGCCCGGCCCGCCCTAAAACTGGCCTCGGGGTGCGACACGGAGAAAAACAATAATAAGGAAAAGGAATGTAGGAGGAGGAGGAGGAGGAGGAGCAGGAGCAGGAGCAGGAGGAGGATCGAGTAGGAGGGGGAGGATGGGGAAGGATGAGGAGGAAGAGGAGGAAGAGGAGGATGAGGAGGACGAGGAGGAGGAGGACAAGATCACATGCTTGCCTCGGGGGCAGGTTCCGACGG